ATATTATATTATATTATATTATATTAATATAATATTATATTATAATATTATATTATATATTATATTATATTATAATATTATATTATATTATATTATATTGTACAATATGTATAATAATTTATAAAAGGCGTTTTCCTCTTGTGTTTTAACGATTAGATACGCTGATCTAAGTTGAATAATAATTCAATGAAATGATAACGATGAATTTCCGTTGATACCAACATAAATTAGAAATCGCAAATTGGGAAAATGAAATATGCACTTGCTCGTCGAAGAACGCAAGCTCGAGATTCATTCCGAAAGATTCAATATCGATTTATATTTGATTTATTATTGATGTCGAGGTTGCATCCGACGCAAACGAACAAGAATTTCCAGACTGATCTAATATAGAACTAGACTTTCTAACTTTGATTTACTCCTTGAATGCAGGAATAGTTTCATGGGGCATCGGATGTGGTAGAGCAGGATATCCTGGAGTGTACACCAGGGTAACCAAGTACCTAAAGTGGATCAACGCCAACATGAATGAAGGATGCATATGTGGAAGCTGAGAAAAATTAATCGCTTCGCGTTAGAAAATTAATCTGTTCTCTCTCGCGCGGTCGGGAGCAGTGCGTATGTTCGAAAGTAACAAACTGCGAGAGTCGTCTCAATTCTAAATAATTATTATCACCGGCTGTTGGCGTAATACTCCGACTGACTAAATATTCTTAAAACTAGAAATATATATATATTGTAAAAATTAGAAATCATATATATATATATATATTTCTAGTTTTATATATATATATATATATATATATATATATATATATATATATATATATANTATATATATATATATATATATATATATATATATATATATATATATATATGATTTCTAATTTTTACAATATATATATTGTATATTGTTATATATATATTGTTATATATATATATTGTAAAAATTAGAAATCATATATGCACGCAATGTAAATTTAGCACTGTTAAAAAAAAAGAAAGTGGTGCGTCGAATCCAGTGGATCGCTCGATACTTGTACATAGTTCTCATAGATTGTATTATGTTTCGTTAGTTTTATACTTAAGAACATAGGTTCCTCGCGCTATGGAAAGTCAACCGTGCGAAGTACAGTCGCGATCTCTGTAAATAAGCCGAACTGTAATCGAAGATGCAACAACAGGATAGATTATAGCATCCAGAAACTCGTTCTTCTCGTACGTTTCTAAGAAAGATGCAACGTTTAGAGGACAATTCACAATCGACCGTAGCATTACCTGAACTCGTGACGCACCTATTGTTGCGTGAACGGCTGCCAAACGTTGCTAGCATAATTACCAGTGTGCGTAACGGTTCATGTCAAACCAGAATTAACTTAATGAAGCGTACGTTCTGCAGAAGCCAGAGCGACGGTATGCACACCGGTGCGCATGTGTTTTGAAAATAATGCTAAGACATTGTATATATGTTATCCGAATCAATCGCATGAAATATATTTTATTCGATTCATCCATGTTGAAATTATTTCTAGATTTCATCGATGCTCGTAACACGTTTACTGTAGAGTGTTGCTTCTTCTTCTGTTACTTCCAAAGTATGCGAAAAAGTTTTGTATACAGAAGTCGCATGGTTTATCTTTTTATGTAGTGTATTTATTTTTTTCCAGGTGGAGACTTTGTTTCTTTTTCAATGGAATACTGTGTTTTTTATGCCAAAATGTGGGAGAACGTTGAATTCTGAGTAAAAAGGTGTTGATCCCCATTAATCCTAAAAACCCCCCTATTAATA